GCGCCGCCAGCTGGCGCAGCTCCAGGAGGCGCTGGCGAAGGGCGGCGCCAGCCGGCTGGAGCACTATGTGCACAACGTGGTGGGCGCCCTCAACCTGGCGCCCGCCATGTTTGGGCAGCGCGAGACCTACCTGGATGCAGTACGGCGTCGGCAGGACCGCGAGGCGCTGGCGCAGCTGCGCACCGGGTCGCATTGGGGCGCGGAAGAGACCGGCCGCTGGACGCGGCGCCCCCGAGAGCAGCGAGTCTGCCCCCACTGCCACGACGGCATTGAAGATGCCCCCCACATGCTGCTCACCTGCCCCCTTTACGCCCCGCTGCGCCTCAACTTTCCTGACCTGTTTGCTGAGCCCCATCCTCCCCACCGCTTCCTCCGCCAGAAACCGTGCCGCCTCGCCGCCTTTGCTGCCGCCTGTCACCAGCGCTGGCTGACCGCCACCGTTGCGCTGCCTGCAGTCCCGCCCTGAACCCCCACTCTCATGTCCACCCCCTTTGCTCTTACCGCACCACACCTGCTCCACGACATGCAGTACTGCCTGCCCGCTCACACACTAAACGCTCGGTGACCTGTCAGTTGGCCTGTCCTGCCTGTTGTTCTACTGCTTCATCCCTCCTTGCTCGAACAACAAAGTCTGTGCTGCAAGCTTGTTCTTGCTGAAACCAGACTGTAAGCCCACACAAGCACAAGCAAGCATACACCTGCAATGGTACAGCAGGCAAGGGCAGTGCGATTTGCAGTACATTCATCCGCGGCAGTGCAGCATTGACTCTGTCTCTCACCTTGGATGAGGTGCCAGCCCCAATCTCAACCAGCCCTGCACTGCTGCTGCTGCCGCTGGTGGGTGATCCCTGGGTGAAGGTAAGATCAGACAGCCGCAAGGAGAGGGGCCCGAAGGCAGTGGCGGCGCACAGCGGCTCGGAAGCGCGGCCAGACGTGCTGGGACCGTCCCCAGCAGCGGACTCTTGCTGCCAGCTCGCTGTTCCAGGCAGCTGCTGCGTCAGAGCACTTAACTCAGGTGGCCGATGGGCTCCAATCACCAAGCCCTGTTCATCAGCTGACGCGCCATGCATGCGCTGGCTCAAGTCATGCAGCCGCCGCTCAATCTCTGCATGCTCCCTGCGTTTTGGTGTCCGGCTGCTGCCGGCGCTGCCTCTGCTGTACTGCAGCAGTAGCTGCAGTCCTTCCTTGTCCGCTGGCGCTGCTGCCGCCCGCTGTGCATGCTCTCTGCGAACTGCAGGCAGCAGCACAACAGCTGCCATCACCAGCACAGCTGCGCCCCCCACTGCTGCTGCCAGCACGCGGCGGCTGCTGCTGCTGCTGCGCACCACGGAAGGACTGCAGGCAGGCAGGTGAACGCTGGTGGTGGCATTGTAGCAGACAGTCCAACCCTCATCCGGATGGTTGACTCGGATGGCACGCACCGACTCAGCAGCCTGGCCAGCAGCAGCCACCTCTTGCTGCCAACTGGCAGTTGCAGAAAACTGCTGCGGCAGGGCGTTTGAACGTGGTGCCTGCTGGGCTTCCACCGCCACCTTCAGGACAGAAGCTGACGCAGCATGCCCTCGCTGGCTCAAGTCCAGCATTTGCCGCTCAATCTCTGCATGCTCCCTGCGCTGTGGCACCTGTCTGCCGCCGTTGTTATTGCTGCGGTTGCCTCTGTTGTACTGCAGCAGCAGCAACCCTTTCTCGCCTGCTGCCGCTGGCACCTGCCGTGCCCGTCGTGCGCGGACCCCGTGCAGCGCATGCAACGCCACTGCTGCTGCCAGTACCAGCACTGCCGCACTGCCTGATGCAGCTGCCAGCAGCCACGGGTGCCACCCGTCCCTGCCCAGCAACACTGAGCCGCAGGTAGGCAGTCGCACCGTGGCATCGGCAGCTGAGCAGATGGTCCAGCCATTGTCTGGGTGGTCAAGCGGCAGCTCCCCATATTTACGCACCAGCCAATTTGCGTCCACTGCATCAGGCATCACACCCCTGATGCCACTGACGTTCAGGCATGCAGCTGGCGTGCCGACCGCACTGACGCTGAAGCAGAGGCCATCGTTACCAGGCCGGACGAGCCTGCACGGCGGTAGCGGTGGTACACAAATGCAGAACATTGGTTGCGGCAAGGTGTGCAGAGGGTGGCAGATGCAGCCAGCTGGCGGTCTTTGTTGAAAACTGGGGTGCACGCTCAACGAGCTTGACGACACGGCAAGCAGGGCAGCAACATCAGGAGCTCACAAGGAAAACTGCCGCTTGGCCCGTCTGGAAGGGATGTTGATAGGCCCCTCCAGATCGTTCTTGGAAACATCTCTGCAGGTGACAAGGGCGGTTGAGATGCCAGTTGAGGGCAACCGCAGGGCTGCCTGGCTCAGCGCCGTTGCCACGGGGCAGCCGTGTGGGGCGGCAAACGAGAGGAGGGGACGACAGGCACTGATCAGCTGGGGCTTTGGGGCGACTCACATGTAATGTATGATGGGCCATGCATCATCACGCAGCCAGCTGGGAGGCAGAGTGCCTGTGAAGGCGTTGCCCGACAGGTTCCTACGGCAGGCAGGGCGGGAGGTTGAGAAAGCGAGGGCAGCGGCAGCCAGCCACTGGGCAGGCAGCGCGGCCGGTCCCTCCCTTGGCCCACAGCGCATGACAGCCTGCCAGCAACAGCACATATGCAGAGCACTCGCAAAGAGCAAGAGCGCGAGACGGCGGCCAGCTCACACGGCAAGCACGCCTCGCAGAACAACGGATTGCGGCCAACTGCTGGGCAAACTCCCGTGCAAATGGTTGTCCGCAAGCGTCCTGCACACATGGGGCAGCAGCTTGAGGGTACAGCTTCCCGATAGGTGCACCTGGAGAGGCGTACATGGCCCAGAAGCCAGGCTTACAGCAGCTGCAGATGGAATGGGGGAGCGTCGCCCAGCCCGGCTTCAAGGCTGCTCAGCGTGCCGCTGAGCTGGTTCCTGGACAGGTCGACTGCCAGCGGCATGCGTGTGTTGGAAGAGATGCGCATAGGGAAGCCAGGGGGTAGAGGGCCGCTCAAGCGATTCTGGTGCAGGATAGTGCACACACAGGACAAGACAGCGAGCAACGCCGTTTTCAGCTGCTGCACCACAGCTGGGCCCATAGCATTCACTCGCTCCATATTGGGCGTAACCGACAGACAGACTCAACTTTTTACCAGCACACAACAAACAGGCGGCAGCTGCTAGCGTGCTCAAGTCAGCAAGGCAGATTGTTGCAATTCCGCATGGCTGGGCCATGGCCGCCTGGGCCACAGGCGAGGGCTCACTCACAGTGCATTCAGGAACAACCACGGCTTGGTAGGTCCCTCCGCCTGGCCCCACCAGCTGTGTGGCAGAGTCCCGGTGAGCTGGTTGATTGCCAGATCCAAATGAGCCAGCAACGGATAGGAGCATGGTAGCAGTACCGGCAGCCTGCCCGTGAACGAGTTGTTCCGGAGGTACCATCGGTGCGGACAAGCTAGGCTTGGATGGAAATGGTGAAGCAGGGATGGCACAGCCAGCTGCAGCTGCCACAGCAGGGAAGGCTGCCCTCACATGAATTGCAGAAGGGAAGCAGTGTGCGCAACGCCGCACGAGTGGGCGCCGACGCTGCCAGCTGTCAGGTTACACCCGGCTGGCAGGTTGCCCGTCAGCCTGTTGTTGGACACATCCAAGTGGAGCAGCACCGTGAAGCTGTCGCCGCAGCCCAGCCCCACAGGTAGGGTGCCGGTCAGACGATTGAACGACAGAAGCAGGACCTGCAGCCTGCCGAACTGCTGCCAGGCAGGTGGCAGGGTTCCTCTGCAGGCACGCAAGCGTACAACAAGCGTGCAGCAGAGTTCATGGTTATCTGCGTATGTGGCAGCAAACGACATCCAAAGCGCTGAGCTGGAACCCCAGGTTCAAGGATCAGCCAAGCTAACCAACTGTGGTGGAAGCGGCAGTCAGAGCTGTAGCAAGACAGGTTCAATAGTGGACATGACACCAGGCACCCTCCACTCACCTCAGCTGGTTGTGCTGCAGGCGGACTTTCTTTATGGAGGGCAGGATCTTAGCCCAGTTAGTGTCTAAACCCTCCGAGAGGGCACAGGTTCGATTCCTCCCATGTCGAAACTTTGTGAGGACAAACGCGGCATAGCTGACCGGCTCAGCGCCAATCCAAGCCAATTCCTTCGGGAACGCCTAATAGAATCGCCAAGGCTTCGGCACAGGCCTCCCCGGGACCCATTCACTACTAGTGGGGGGTACTGCACTTGGCGCGTCGGGCAGATCAAATAATGGTCTAAAGCTAGACGTTAAAACCGGGAAGTGAAGCTTGTGGAGGCTCTTCCCCACCTTTACCTTTACCTTTACCTTTAGCCCAACTAGCTGGCAGAGTGCCAGTCAGTTGGTTTCCAGCAAGGCCTCTGCAGGCAGGCAGGCAGGCAGGCGCATACGCAAGGTCAGGTTCATGCTTCCTTGAGCGGTGCAATGAGTGTGGCACTCGAGCCGACCGATTGCACTGACAGGCCGCGGACTAGCGGCGCTCACGTGGTATCCAGGGACAGGCTGGCCCAGGACGGCGGCAGCGTGCCCGTCAAGCGATTCAAGGAAACATCCAGCTCCTCCAGGGCTTGCAGGGCGGCAGGAAGGTGCGGTGGCAGGCAGCCGGTGAGCTTGTTTCCTCCAAGCTGCAGCCACGTGAGGAATCGGAATGGGCCGGGGCTGAGCCAAGAAGGGGCGATGCTGCCAGTGAGCCCGCAGCGACCCAGCGAGCTGCAGCCAGGTGCTCGTCAGCAGCAAAGAAGAATGGAGTCAGGTGCGAGTCTAAGTGGCGGCCAACCAGCTCAGGCAAGCAAGGGTGGCCTTTGGGACGGCGGCAGCCACGCACAGATGTTGCAGCGACGGGAATGCGTTCTTGGCGCCCCAAGCGGATGGCAGGCTCCCGTCGAACGCGACCTGGTTGACGAAGAGTCTTCGAAGCCTTGTGAGGCCCGCCCACGACGCCGGCAGCTGGGTGGGGCGGTCAAAGGCGGCCTCCTCCAGAACCTCCAGCACTTCCAAGGCTGGCAGCCGCGCTACCAGATCCACAAATGCGCTGGACAGGCGGAGTGGCGGTTCCGGCGGATCAAACTGGAGGGTGCTGCGGGCAGGGGGTGCAGGCAGGGGGGCGGGAGGCAGTAAAAGGAATGCGGGACACGACTGTCGACCTTCTCCCAACGGCCCAAGGCGCTGCACAGTGCGCATTCTGGAGTGCAAGCCTCCAGTGCTAGGCTAGCCGCTGGGCTGTTGCCGCAACTGGCTGGCTGGCTGGCCTGATGACGGCGGGCGGCTCACAGCTGCGTGACGCGGCCGCCCTCGCTGCAGCCGACGCCTTCCCAGGCGCAGGGGTCGGGTGTCATGTTCATCGTCCAGCCGATAATCGAACAGGTGATTACAAGGGGGCACTGCTCCCTCTGCAGGACCTGGGCACGGTCGCAGCATGCAGGGTTCGCCACGGCAGCGGCAAATGCTGCAGGTGGATCGTCCCGCAGCTCGGCCAGGCTCAAAATCGTGTCGCGCAGCGCCCGCAGCACTGCACAAGATGCAAGGTGCAGGGGGTCGGGACGTACCATATAGTGATGCTGCAGGTATTCAGGGAACACGACGCGTCGCCAGCCAGACACCTCGGCCTAACCTGAGGCGTCGCTGGCGTTGGTGGCCGCAGCAGCGGCGGGAGGTCCCACCAGCAGGAGCAGCAGGAGGAGCAGCGGCCCTTTCATCAGCCACCGCATGATCCTCCTACCGCCTGGTCGCCCGTTGCCCAGGTCTAGAGGGCGGGGGTGGGCGGGCAACCGCGAACCCCGCCGCGAGGCGGGCCGCCTATCTGGTTGCACATGCTTGGCACGGTGGCAAGATGTCGGCGCGCCAGCCTTTGCGTCCAAAGAACCAGACTGCCGCCACGTCAGCGTCGGCGGTACCCAACACGGTTTTGAAACTCCTGCTTCTGCCCACAGAGCAGGACAGAACTCCTCTGATCTAAAATAGATCTCTAAAATAGATGTAACAAAGGAGTTATTCAACAAGTGCAAGGGAGAAAGATCTGAAGATGTTGAAGGGAAATACTTGAAACAATATCAAAGGTGGGTACGGTCGTCACAATTAGATGAATACGTCGGTGATGAAGGGTTTGGATGGAGTAAACACGATAGAGCATGCAAAAAAAGCCCGTTATGTATCTTCAACCAAAGGACGTTGTCAGCAGCTCGGCAGCCCCAGCAGCACCGCCTGCGACACTGCTGCCTTGCAGTGCCGCCATCACCTGCTCTGCCGAGGGGCGTGTAGAGGCGTCTTGGGCCAGGCAAGCACCTACCAGCTCTGCCACATGAACAGGGCAATGCTCAGGCACCCTGCATGAAACAGCAGTGAGGCAAGGCTGTAAGCAGAAGCCCGGCATGATGACTCGGCAGATCTGATCACCGGCAGCAGCGAACCCCTGTTGCACCACACCGCAACACAGCAAACGTGTAGCACACCTGAGCTGCAGCTCGGCCCGCGCATCCCTGCCGCGCGCCGCACGGCCCGTCAGCACCTCCAGCATCACGATTCCCAGGCTGTAAATGTCGGATGCTGGGCCGCACCAGCCCCCTGCCAGCTGCTCGGGGGAAGAGTAGCAGTTGGGGGTGCCATGAGCTGTCACGATGCTGGCCTGCAGGATGCCTGACTGCCCGAGATCGCAGATTTTGGCAGTGCCCAGTGATCCATCCAGCAGCACATTGCTGCAGACCAATGGGAGATAGGGAGGCACAGCAAGCAAGCGACAATTGCAGCGAGCACACGTGTGGATTGGCAAAAAGCAGGGATGGTCAACAACGCAGCCAGAGGCTGAACCCACCTCGCTTTCAGGTCAAGGTGCACGATCTTGCGGCCATGTAGGTGGTGCAACGTGCTGGCAACTTGGAGCAGCAGCTCCCGGCCCCTGCAGGTGCAGGGCAGCGAGTGTAAGCAATGTCAGCTCAAACAGACAGTCGACAGGCAGTTGTGCAAGCAATGGCGCAGTCGACGATAGACAGACACAATGCCAGCGCACCTGGCATGGTAGCGCAGCACCGGGTTGGGCAGCTGGCTGAGCAGCGAACCACCGGACATGAGCTCTGTCACCACAAACACCAGGCCCTGCGCCCAGCACACGCCAACCAGCTGCAGGCAGGCGCCAAGCCAAAACGCATGTCATGCCTGGGAACGCATGTCATGGCTGGGAACTGTGACAGAGCAGCAAAATCCCAAATGAACTATACAACACACTGCAATATGCAAAGAGCTGCACCACCCGCCCCCTACCTGCAGTATGCCAGGGTGGTGGCAGCGGTGCACCAACGACACCTCCTGCTGCAGCTGCTCGTTCAGCATAGGACCCACAGGCAGCAGCATGACCTTCACCGCCACCGCCAGCGCATCGTGCAGGCGAGCCAGATACACCTGCAATGGTACAGCAGGCAAGGGCAGTACGATTTGCGGTACATTCATCCACGACAGTGCAGCAAGCAAGCGCAGCATTGATTCTGTCCCTCACCTTGGATGAGGTGCCAGCCCCAATCGCAACCAGCCCTGCACTGCTGTTGCTGCCGCTGGTGGGTAGTCGCTGGCTGAAGGTAAGATCAGAAAGCCGCAAGGAGAGGGGCCCGCAGGCAGTGGCGGCACGCAGCCGCTCGGAAGCGCGGCCAGACGTGCTGGGACCGTCCCCAGCAGTGGCCTCTTGCTGCCAGCTGGCTGTTCCAGGCAGCTGCTGCGTCAGCGCACTTGACTCTGGTGGCCGATGGGCTCCAATCACCAAGCCCTGGTCATCAGCTGACGCGCCATGCATGTGCTGGCTCAAGTCAAGCAGCCGTCGCTCAATCTCTGCATGCTCCCTGCGCCGTGGTGCCGGGCTGGTACCGCCGCTGCCTCTGCTCCCGCCCCTGTGCTGCATCAGCAGCTGCAGTCCTTCCTCGTCCACTGGCGCTGACACCTGCCATTCCCTCTGCACACGGAGCCTGTGCAGCGCAGGCAGCGCGGCTGATGCTGATGCTGCCAGGGCCGCAACACTAACAACAGCTGCGGCCAGCAGCCCTGGCCGCCAGCTGCTGCGGGCTAGCTCCGCTGCGCCGCAGTTTGGGAGCTGCACTGTGGCATCGACTCGGGAGCAGACGGCCCAGCCAGGGTCTGGGGAGTGCTCGCGTATCTGCTCATAGTGGTGAGACACATGTGAACCCGTGCTATACACCGACTCCTTCCACGCCACCGTGTCGCTGACGTTCAGGCACGCGGCGGGGGACCCCGTGTCGGCAGCGCCGGTGCACAAGCCGCTGTTGCCGGGCCAGACCAGCCTGCACAGCACCAAAAAACAACTACGGGACTGAGTTGGGCGCAGAGGCAGATGTCAGCTGCCGCTCGCTGGTGGAAATGGGCAGCAGGCTTCTGGTCGCTGCGACGCAGCAGGCGGAGCAACACAGCAGCTTACAGCGAAAACTGCCGCTTGGCACCCCTGGGAGGCACGTCTATGAGTCCCTCCAACTTGTTCCTGGCGACATCTCTGCAGCAAGCAGGGTTTGCGCCCAGGCAGCGCCCAGGCAGTAGGTGAACTCCGGCACCAAGCCGGCGGCGGCCAGCGCACCCACGAGCAAGCCTGGCGCTGCACGATGCGGCAGGGAGGCACTCACAGGAAGTGCATGTTGGGCCAGGCCTCGATGGCCAGCCAGCTGGCTGGAAGCGTGCCCGTAAACGCGTTGCCCGATAGGTTCCTGCCAGCAGGCAGCAGGCACAGCACACACAGCATGACATTCCATGCGCGCAGCGAAGAGGCAGGCAAAATGATGCCAAATGACTGTGCGCAGAGCAGCAATCACGGCAGCGCGCAGCATGCCATGCATGTTCACTTGACAAGCAACGGCAAAAAGGAGCACCAGCACCAGCGGCAGCAGCCTCACAAGCCAAGCAGCCCGCTGAGCGTAGCAGCACGGGACCAGTTGCTGGGCAAGCTGCCATGCAGGAGGTTGTCGGCGAGAGATCTACAGGGCGGAGGCATAGGCAGCAATGCAGGGCAATGAAACATGCAAAATCAGGAAAGGTGAGGCAGCAGCGCAGCAGGCAGCCCACAGACACGAGGCACAAAAGGGAGGTGGGTGGCACTGTGGGTGTGACAGGCAGGCACGGCAGGTCGGCTCACAAGACTTGCAGGTGGAACGACTTGGGCTTGCGATGCTGCAGGTCCAGGCCAACCAGGTTGGACAGTGTGCCGGTGAGCTGGTTGTGGGACAGGTCGACGGCCCTCAACATGTGCTGGTCGCGTGGAGGGCGCACAAGGAAGCCGGGAGGCAGAGGGCCGCTGAGGCGGTTGTGGTGCAGGATCCTGCAGAGGAGGGACAACGCGCAAGCGCTGATAAAAGGACAGGGCAGGGGACGAGCAAGCGCTGCTCAAAGGACATGCCCCAACAGGAGTTGTTCCCCAACAGGTGCGCCCCGCACGCCATGCACGACTCCAGATGAATGCAGGCAGTAGGCTGGCCATGCTACCCATCGGCAGCAAGGGACAGACTGGACAGCGGGGCAGCCCCCGTCCTAGGACAGGCGCAGAGGCAGCACTCACAGGGCACCCAGGTTCTTCCAGGACAGTGTGGAGCCCTCCCGCGCGCCCCACCAGTTGGGTGGCAGAGTGCCGCTGAGCTGGTTGAAGGCTGCGTCTAGCTGCTGCAGGGCCGGGAAGGAGCAGGGCAGCTGAACCGGCAGCGTGCCGGCAAGAGAGTTGTTTTGGAGATACCTGGAGAGCAGCAGGGGAATGGGCGGAGTGAGGAAGGAAGTTGCCCTGGCTGCCCTGGCGCTTGCTCCTCGGATGTCGATCGCTGAAAGCGGCGCGGCATGCTCACATGTATTTCAAGCCAGAAGGCTCTTGCAAGGCCAATAGGCAGCCGCTGTTGCCTGGGTGCAGGCTGCACCCAGCGGGCAGCCTGCCCGTCAGGCTGTTGTGCGACAGATCGAGCTGGCTCAGCCGCGCAAAGCTGCCGTTGCAGCCCAGCCCCTGGGGCAGGGTGCCGGTGAGGCGGTTGTTGTACAGCCAGAGGTACTCCAGCTTGGGGAACCACTGCCACACGATGGGCAGGGTGCCCCTGCAGCATACAGGAGCACAGCGTCGGGTAGGAGGCCGGGTGGCAGGCTTTGGTTGCAGCAACGCCGCAGCAAGGCATCACAATGGCATCGGTTGACTGAATAAAAGGCCTGGGGCCCCCCTGCTGGCCAAGCAACGCATCCACAGCAGGCAGTGGCTCACCTCAGTCGGTTGTGATCCAACTGAAGGGAGGTCAGGGCAGGGAGCGCATCGACCCACTCGGCTGGCAGGGTGCCAGTCAGCAGGTTTTGCCCAACGTTGCTGCACGGGGGCGAGAAGCAGGCCAGTGGTCAGCACAACTAGCTGTTGCTTAGGGTCAAAGCAGTTCTGATGGGCTGATAGGTGCGACTTGACCAGGCAGTCGCGCACTCACATGGTACTCAGCACAGGGCTGGCCCAGCCTGGCGGCAGCGTCCCCGACAGGCGGTTGAAGGAAAGATCGAGCTGCAGCAAGGACGACAGGGCGCCTGGCAAGCCTGGCGGCAGGCTGCCCGCCAGCGCGTTCACTCCAAGCCCCAAGTACGTCAAGGCCGGGAACGCGTCAGGGCTGTACCAAGATGGAGGGATGCTGCCAGTGAGCCCACAGCCACCCAGCGAACTGCAGCAGCAAGAGTTGCGCGGGAGGTGCTCTGTAGGAGGCCAGCCAGGGCGCCAGCGAGCATGCAACGCCCAGGCAGACCAAGCCAGCGACCTTGGCAGGCAGCGCGCATGCTCGCTGCCGCAGCCAGTCGCTCAGCACGGCACTGGCGCCAAGGGCAGCCGCCACCGCTGCAGCCACTCACAGCTCATGCAACGCTGGCAGCACGTTCTTGGCGCCCCAGGAGGGCGGCAGGCTGCCGGAGAACTCGACCTGGAGCATCCTGAGCGTCCGCAGCTGCTTCAGGCCCGCCCACGAGTCTGGCAGCTGGGTGGGGTGGTCAAAGGTGGACGCCTGCTGCATGTTGAGCACTTGCAGGGCCGGCAGCTGCGCCACCAGCTCCACAAACGAGCTGGACAGGCGGAGTGGCAACAGCAGGTCTCCATACATGAAGGCCCTGCGGGGAAGAAGCCCAAGGGTGGGGGGAGCCGCAGGAGTCCAGATTCGCACCAAAACGCGCCAGCAAGTGTGGATGCAGAAGATCCTGCCATGGCATGCCAGCAAGGTCCACAAGGCGGAGGAAAAGGATGCAGGGGCTGCAGGGCGGGCCCACACGCGCACAGGTGCGTCACGCGGCCTGTGGCGTCGCAGCCGACGCCCTGCCAGGTGCAGGGGTCGGCCATCAGGTTTGCCGTCCAGCCTTGGATTGGGCACACGATGTCATCGGCGGTACACCCGTCCGTCTGCCTCTGCCTGCCGTGCGTGCAGCAGCTGGGGTGGGCCTCTGCCCCGTCTCGCAGCTCAGCCAGGGTAAGCATCGTGTCCCGCAACGCCCGCAGCACTGCATGGGAAAAGTTGGACTGATGCTTGTGATTTGAGCTTTGCTCCAGAGGATGCAGCCTACCAGGGAGCAGCAGCAGTCCCACCTTCTGCATCATCGCTGGCGGCAGCGTGGGCGGCGGCGCCTGCTCCAGCGGCGGCGGCGGTGCTGGCCAGCCCCGCCAACAGGAGCATCGGGAGCAGCAGGGGACGCCATGGCCGCCGCCGCATGTCCCCTTCTAGCGCCTGGCTGCCAAACGCAGCCTACGGGCCTGGGGCCCCTCAAGCACGACGCTCATCCCCGCTCGCCTGGTCTGGACCGGTGCAGGTTGGACCAGTGCAGCATGTGAGCACTATGTAAAGCGGCAAACCCGCATGGTATTCAAAGAGGCAAACCCGCATGACCCGGGAAAAATTTAGAGCCCGTTTTGCCCGTACTTACGGCAGTTTTTGAGTTTCTCAGCTGAAATCCGGCCGGAAAAGGGCCCAAGTCGTACAAATGCACGTGTTCGAGTTGTTTTTCAGGCCGTTGCAGTACACCATGCAGTACATGACTGGAAGGGCCGGATAGTGCCTTTTAGGGGTTGAAATGGGTCCCCAAATACTCGAAGCGCTCCTGGAAGCTGGGGGCTGCGCCCCCAGACCCCCCTAACACGAAAACACATGGTGTCCTTCCTCAGGAGGCTGCCCTCTGGCACATTCGCGTTTTTGGAATACGGGTAGAGCCGTAAAAGCTCACGGGTTCGAGTTATTTCCTAAATTAAACCCTGCGCATGACGATTGCCTCGGTGGCAGGCGGTCCGTGCGTTGCACGAAAGCGGGGGAATAAAGCCACTGGTGGGACATGGGGGTGTAAGCCGCAGGAGGGGGCCGTGCTGGGCATTGTTCGGTCTGTGCGGTAGACCAGCCAGGCCCGGCCAACGCTCACCACCTGCCGCCACCGCCGCCACTCCCGTATCCGGCGTCGCCCCATTGCCCCCGTCGGGGAGCCGCTCGCCTACCTGCAGCCCCACCCAATTGCTGCCATCGATGCCGTCAATGCGTGATGCCAGCTGCACTTTTGCATTCTTTTGCATTCTTCCCTGAAGCTGTAGGCTTGCTGCCCGTGAGCACGTCCGAGGTGGCGATCACCGCAACCGGTTTGTATCGCCGCTGGAGAGGATGGGCGTCTTCCGGGAAATTTATTGAAAAGGGCAGGTGGTTGGGCGGCATAGGCGTGAGTACGATGCGAACGCCGCACCTGGTAAGGGTGCCGCACGGTTCAGCCCTGGGCGACGGGTCCGCTCATGCATGCACGCATTGAAAATGTGAGCAGCTGGTGGTGACTTTCGGCATGTACCCGCAAGCTGGATGCGCAGGCAGAAGGATGTACGATGCACGCACCAGCCTCCGCTGAGCGGCAGGAGTAGCAGTGCTGAGCGCCGCGGCAGGAAGCGGGGCGGGCATCAACGGCGGCGCTGCGTGCACCTCGCATGCATGCAGGCATCGTTGCCTTAGTCTATCCCCACCAATCAGCGGACCCGAGTCAGACCCCAAACCGAACGCCTGACACTGAGCTGTGGGTGTGTGGCTGCTGCCGCACCGACCCCTCACGAGCCCATCCATGTGCTCCCTGGGCGCCTGGCAACGCCACAGGTGCACATTACGCGCCAAAGGGGAAGGGAGGCTGCGCAGTGCGTAGTGGCACTTTCACAAGTGGGGCTAATGCCAGCGGGGCATGCCTTCTTTTGGCGGGAAACTTTGGGCGCAGTACACGTTTTATCGCGCTGGATTGGTCCTGATCATCGACTAGATCAACTCGCCCACGCAGCAGGTAGTAGCAGCCACCCCCACCCCGCATTGGCAGCTCTCCCGTAGCCCCCGCCGCCTCCAGCACGTTTCTCGCCAGGTGCGATCGGTGTGCGGGGGCGCATTGTACCTGGATGAGGTCTGCGGGGGCGCTCCGACAGCTGCTGGTGGCTTCGGCCTGATGGGCGGGCAGATGGGTGGCTGCCTACTCGAAGCTGGTCATGCAGCGGGTTTGGCGGCGCCAGGCCAGGCCCAGCAACCATGGGCACGCCCCAGTGCTGGGGTTTAGAGCCTTTGGGCATCCCCCTGTGCGCGCCTCCCAACCCGGCCGCCGCCCGCCGTGGGCCAAGGCGAGACCCAGGGCGCACTTGCGTCGTGACGCCACCCGGCCTCCCGACTCAATCCCCCATCCCCTCCATGCATGTGCTGCAGGTGACTCTATTTAAACAGTCACCATGCCCATGTGGGAGGCCAGCCGCCGCACGCTCATCAAGACCGCCACCTCCCTGCACGTAAACCCGCGCCATGTCATTGCGGAGCTCGTGTGAGCGTCAGCCTGGCCAGTGCCTGGGGCCAACTACTCTCTGTGCCGGTGCCCTTGCTTCATGTCGCCCAAGGATGGCCCTGATGTATGGGGGGCGTGTGCGATTGATTGTGCACGGCCAGCTGCCCTTGCGCCCCCTCCAGCACATGCCGCCGCCGCCGCGCCGCCTGCCAGCAGTGCATGTCGCCCACCACCCTGTGGCGCTCCCCTGTGCTTGACTTCTGCAGCGGCATGACTCTGTTTGTGTTCATCGGTACTGGAGCTGCGGTCTTTTTCTCCAACCCTAAGACCACTGATTACAGTGAGCGCAGCAGCGCGGGAATCGGGGCTGGCGGCTCTGCTCTGTCTTGCATGATGCTGATGCTGGGGCGCAGTGGCAAGGCAACCAGGGCAGTGTTGCAACTTGCGTGCCTGGCTCGCTTGCCAGGAAAGCACGGCGCAACGCCGGGACACAGACCTGCCCCACCTGCGCGTGCCGGTGCGGTGCCGCCGCCATAGCTGATCCGAGCGCCGCACCCCGCGTGCCGCCGCCTGCAGTTGACGTCACCGGCGAGGGCACCACCAACCAGATTGTGGCTGCCGTGTATGACAACCTCACCATCAACGCCAGCTTCGGCATCGTGACCGCCCTGGCCTTTGGCATGGCAATCATGGTCGCCGCCTTCTCCATCGGCCACGTCAGCGGCTGCCACCTCAACCCCGCCGTCACCGTCTCCCTCGTGCTCTCCGGCAACTGCGGGCTGGGCCAGGGCGTGGCCAACATGATTGCCCAGTTTGCGGGCGCCACGCTGGGCTCCCTGCTGCTGTGGGGCACCTCGTCCATGCGCGACGGCGGCCTGGGTGCCAACTCCATCGGCGACAGCTTCACTGTGGGCAACGCCATCCTGGGAGAGATCGTGATGACCTTTGTGCTGGTGGGTGGGACACAGCACCAGACGCCGCACGAGGGGCTGGCGGCTGAGCCTGCAGCACGCCACGCCGCAGCCTGCCTGCGCTGGGAGCCACCCTTGGCGCGCCCACTGCCCTGCAGTGCTACGTGGTGCACATGACCGCCATCGACAAGAACTCCCCGCCCTCCACCAATGGTCTGGCGCCCAAT